TTAACAAACCGTACAGTTGATCAGGTTCCAGGAATTGATTAATCTTATTGCAGTCTTTCGCAGGGAGTGTATAAGGTAAATAATTGAATGTCTACCAATGTAGAAAGAGTGAAAAAAAATCAACTCGGGGCTATCGACACACGTTATACAAACATTTACAGTGACAATTATTGGTCTATCATCAACGCAACAATCTTGAGTATGGCTTGAAGCGTTGCTGAATGCTTTATTTACGTGAAAAAGTGTATATATTTGTAACTTACGGCACATGCAATTTTCCAGATACATTAAAGATGGGAAAATTACTGTACACTATATTAAAATCAAAGGACGGGTTGCTTTAAAAAAAAATATTCCAACGTGCTCTGGATATCGGTAAACACGACAAAAATATTCCCACGTATCAACACACTTCAAAGTTGTGTTATGACAAAGCAGAAATACTTAGTATTTTCTAAAAACAGTCTCCATGACTTAACCTTTAAATCAGATGTTGGCCGACGTCGAATTTTAAAAGTAGGTAGGTAATGTTAACTCACGTGTAAAGTGTCTATCTCGAAGTAATAATTCTTCCAATATTTACTAAGTACATAATGTATTTGTGTATACTGTCCCATCTGCAGCGAAGCGTGCTATTATCCCTCTAGGGAATATTTCTATCTGTATATACGCTTTACAATCTTATAGAAAATGAAACTAAATCGAAGTAGTTAATATGAGAATATCATAAATACTGAATTATTTTCGAATGACAAGTATTTATGATAAAATTCAACCCATTTAGTGAAGTGATTCCAATCACAGTATTTATGTAGCAGAGTATTCGTAGTCTTGGTGACGGTATACACAACATCCTCATTCAGTCTCGCCTTCGTACTGCGTTACACAGCTTAGAAGGTGATGGATGTGCAATGTACTTTTGAGACTGTGTGACATGGATATTTCTGGTAAGTCAGAATACGGAACGATATAAACACTTAATGCGGAACATTGAAACTGCATGTATTTGTTGCGTCTAATTTTTTTCATGCGATAAAATTGCAAAAAAATCAAAATTGTTTCAAACAATAAGGGACTTGAGTATTGAAGAGCCTTGTAAATATATTAATTTCCCTTGAGCTTTGCTGTATGTTATATGCGATGTTCTGAACACCATAGAATAGAATTTTACGTGAATAGAACACAGATAAAAAGATAGAATGAGATATTGCATGCATCTGTTGATTAAGTCGAAATAGTTACATAACAGGCTCACGATTTCAGCGTGTAGTGAGAGATTCTTGCGTGACCATATACAGAATGAGTGCCAACACGCTGGAATGCAGGTATTGTTCTGCCAAGTACAGTCGCATAGAGGAAAATTGATTAAAGTCTGATGACGACTTAAACATTCACAGATCTTCTGATCCGCGCTATGTTCTTACTAGACACATAATGTAGTCAGTTTCGATAGGATGGGTTTTAGCATACCAGGTTTGACGTATGTACCAAAAGAAACCACGGATACGTGGTAAATCTTAACTTTGAAATAGCGGCGGACATATAAATTCGATGAAGCTGTTTAATCCGAGAACTCGACTTTTCTCAATGATATTTGAAAATGAATGTCTTGCATATGTTCAACTGTTTTATCTATAAGCCATCAAAACAACATCCAACCTAGAAAAGATAGGGCGTCTGGGTTTCTGCTTGTTTACAGAATATCAGAAATGGATTAGGATTGTTTCAATGTAAAACACATAATCTTGCCACATGATTTCGAAGTCAATGGACCATCTTGTTTTGAGCTTTTGAATAAGTTGCTACCTTTTTACCTTTGTGTGGGCCATCATATACTGCCTTCGTAAACTCAAAGATACGGAGCAAAAAGGTGGACAAGGGCGTTATGTATAAATATCAGTTATGATGGACAGATATTAATGAGATATTTGACCCACGAGCGTCACACCTCAACGGATGGTTAGGATGACTACGTTACGGTCATAATAACCGTCACATGAAGTTGCGGGAAGACGTGACATTTATTATGTATAGCGTTCCAGACAGTGGTATATCACATTAGAGGACGCATAGAGTGAAAACAGTTTTATAGGAGTGAAAACGGTGGCACGTTCTTGTAATCCAATTCGATGAAGCCGATTCTTCAATATAGCTTCAGATTTACTTATTTTCAAAGTTTTAGCATAATGGCAATATGCATTTTAACATTACTTAAGAATTTGTATCTAAGCCCGTGCATTAAGAATATAGTCTTACAGTCTTACAACACACTACACGAATAGTATCGTATCTATTTAATTGCTATTACGTGCATAATATCACATATTTGATCAGTGAGGTTGATAAAACAGATATACACGTATATCTGAACACAGTTTTCTGTGTCTGATGACGCAGATCGTTACTTGCGTAAGAGTTTAAACAGATTGTAAGTATAAAAATGTCACTCATGAATATATTTTCATAAAATTAAGACCTAATTTGAAGTAATCGTTTGTAGAAAAGTACAACAGTGCGCAGCAGTCCACGACCAGCTATAGTGTTGAATATCGTTTCTAGCATTGTAAGTAATTGTTGCCGTTAATATAAGGCTTCACAAACGTGATGGGCATTGTTACTTTAGGCTAGAAATGGGCTCATCGATAGAAAAACTCTTAAAGATTGCTGACAGAAAACACACCCTACTCCCCCCATAAAAAGGTACTACAATTAAGAAACCAGAATTGAAATTAATATACCTTTTCGCTAAAAAATGTCTTCTCCGTCATAGTTGTACTGAAAAATTGGTCTGATGGAAGGACATTACCGACATATCAGTTTTTTAACATTCAGAACCCATCTTGCACTTCGTCAATAAAAAAAAGTTTGATTAAAAAGCTATGCATTTTTTGCCTTCCAATACGGACCCTCCACAATACAAAGTAACTTCCAGGTCGGTTCTCTATTGTTCTCGAGATATGAGTATATTTCTACTTAAAAAAACAATTAAGATCGGTATGTACAATGTAGGTAAAGTATAAATAGATATGGAATACGTAGATAGATCAGTGAGACAGATAAGTAGGAGAAATAGAAGATAAGTAAAAGAATAGGCGATGTCAATAAATAAGGCGAGAAATCGACAAAAATCCTATTACGTAGCCAAATGAATGTTCAGGGAGTCGTTAGCGCGTAGTAAGGAATGGTGAGGTACACTGAAAATCATACATTTATAATGTGAGAGTGCAAATACGTCATTCATACAAGCAACAAGAAAATATCAGCTTATCAGAAGAATCATCATCCAGATTCAAATTCAACAGAAATAGAGCAAAATTATAGCAAAAGAAAGAATTAAATGGAGACTACTGAAGACGGCCATCATAAGGCCAACAGATGATTCCGTATTTAACTATATATGACGTCATATTTAATAATTTAGACAAGAGTTCATTATACAGAGCATCACATGGCTTAATCAGTCTCAGTTTATCCTATTATTACCACCAGGTATCAGAAAACAACACATTGTCAGGCAAGAAACGAATCTAAATCGGTGAAGTCTTTGAAGACTTGAGTAATGAGTACAGTTTTTTTAAGAAGTTAGGTCAGGTAAATAGCTAATACAGAGGGAACCGCACGTGCGACATTGTCACATGTTTGGTCTTACTACTGTATCAATGTATCTTTTCATTTGATGACTATAACATGGCTGCTTTGGTTTCCCTTAAAGATACAAACCTTCACAGCAATTGCGAATCAATTTACACTAGTATACTACTTATACTAATCACTCATGTTGGCGCGCGAGGGTACTTACCGTAAAAAGAAACCGCGGTACTCAGGGAAATCCCACGTGGTCGGACAGGCGATACCCTACCTTTAACGTCCGTTCTGAGAATCGAACTCCGAACGACTTGGTGAAAGGCGAATGTGTTACCACTGCACCAGTAGGTTTACTGTCAGTCTACTTAAATGTCGTACTGTAGCTTTCTAACTAGGGACATCAGACGACTAAATTAAATACATCTATATTTCGCATGTAATCGATCAAAGGATGCTTTATTTTCTTAGCTAGGTGTTTCTACCGGCAGGCAATCTCAGTCCGCCACATTCATTGTCATACACCAATAACTTTATCTAGTTCCATATATATATATATATTCTCTTTGTATGGAGCAAAGATCACAATTTGATTTGATCCAATATTCAACGTGTATATCATTGGAATACAAACCATTGTATCAGTATATTTTTTACCTAAATGAGATCCTTAACTGAATCATTCTCCCCATCTTAGCTGGTGATAATACGACGTTTAATGATATCTACTATTCTCGTATGCTTTTTGTTCAAGAGAGAAGTCAGCCTGTAGAAAAAAAACATCCATTATTAAATATACATTTAAATATTGAACTGTCTTGCTATGGTCAAGACTAACAGAACCTTGCAAGCAAATGTCTAACAGTGCCCTTTTTTTACATGATATTCCACTACTCCGAGGGTTGGTGTTCGTACGTGCGGGATGAGGGTGAGGGCGAGGGTACAGACTAGAATAGACTGAAATCAGGTGTTCATTCTATCTGGGGTGAGGGTGAGGGTGACGGTCAGGGTGAGGGTAACAACAGATGTGCGCTGTTGGTCTATGTGTGGTGATGGTTGGGGTACAGACAGATCATTTCTTACGCCTGAGGAGATATTAGAACTATCGTACCAAGAGGAGATCGGCCCGACCTCAGCTCTTCATACTGACTATCACAGCAATGAAAAGCAAATCTGACCAAGCGAAAACGTTGCTGGAGTAAGGAAAATCTGTGAAGCGTTCGGTAGGAAAGGTTATACAAAGTTAAGTTTGGCAAGAAAGAAAAAAAAATACTGCTTGGGTTTTGTTAATGTCACATTGGATAAATCATGGACAGTATTGGACTTATATACCAAGATGCTGTCAACCAATCAATATCGCGATGGTGAATCACTGGTCAGTATGTGTTCCCAAGTGATTGATTGATATTAACTTCATCTTATGCCACCAAGTATCCACCATACCAAAATATTTTCCCTCGAGCTCCTAAGTGCTCTAACACCTCCCTTTTCTTCTTTCTATTTCTCCGTTTCATCGCTCTTTTCTTCTTCCTATTTCTCCGTTTCATCACTCTTTTCTTCTTCCTATTTCTCCGTTTCATCACTCTTTTCTTCTTCCTATTTCTCCGTTTCATCACTCTTTTCTTCTTCCCATTTCTCCGTTTCATCACTCTTTTCTTCTTCCTATTTCTCCGTTTCATCACTCTTTTCTTCTTCCTATTTCTCCGTTTCATCGCTCTTTTCTTCTTCCTATTTCTCCGTTTCATCGCTCTTTTCTTCTTCCTATTTCTCCGTTTCATCGCTCTTTTCTTCTTCCTATTTCTCCGTTTCATCGCTCTTTTCTTCTTCCTATTTCTCCGTTTCATCACTCTTTTCTTCTTCCTATTTCTCCGTTTCATCACTCTTTTCTTCTTCCTATTTCTCCGTTTCATCACCCTTTTCTTCTTCCCATTTCTCCGTTTCATCACTCTTTTCTTCTTCCTATTTCTCCGTTTCATCACTCTTTTCTTCTTCCTATTTCTCCGTTTCATCGCCCTTTTCTTCTTCCCATTTCTCCGTTTCATCACTCTTTTCTTCTTCCTATTTCTCCGTTTCATCACTCTTTTCTTCTTCCTACTTCTCCGTTTCATCACTCTTTTCTTCTTCCTATTTCTCCGTTTCATCGCTCTTTTCTTCTTCCTACTTCTCCGTTTCATCGCTCTTTTCTTCTTCCTACTTCTCCGTTTCATCACTCTTTTCTTCTTCCTACTTCTCCGTTTCATCACTCTTTTCTTCTTCCTACTTCTCCGTTTCATCACTCTTTTCTTCTTCCTATTTCTCCACCATATCTCTTCTCCCTAATCACTCGTTTCCCTTTCTATTCCTCCGTGTCCTCACTCCTATCTTCACCACATTACTCATTTCTTCTCCGTCTTTTTTCTTCTTTACAGCTGTTTCATAAATCCTTCCACTCCTTTAGCGTTTATTGTACTTTTTCCCACCATCCCTGTACACTTTCTGTATCTTATATCCCTCATCCGTGGCTTCTCTCGTGGTGAGCCTCGCGAACATATTCATTACGTATAAAGATATGTTACTTGCCGATGTGGCAATCATTGCTCTGATGGTGTTGGTAGGGTATCAAACGACAGTGCTTAAACAGCGGGACTCCTTTGACAACCGAAGGAACTGGATCAAGGCTCTCTTGCGATCCCTAAAATCGCTCTATCATGCGCCATTCAGGCGCCAAGCACTGCACTACAAGGACATTGATACTGATGTTAGAAAATTTAGACAACAATGGAAATATTCAAATTGAAAAAAAAAACTTTGTAAAAAGAGGAAACAGCAATTTATCAAAACAGCTCAATGTAAACTGTTTTGGGAATTTGGAGAGGGTTGGTGATGTGTGAAGGCAATACCCTTAATAACTGGCTTGAATGGAACGGACACTGCTCGTAGACACGCCTGATCTAGCGCACATAAAAAGTCAATATGGAAATGCTGATAAAATTCTAATGCTGCAAATTTACATAAAAATTATATCGATCACGAATCATATAAGTCATGCATATTAATGCTAATTCCCGCAAGTGTTTGGGAGACCGTCGGTAGGTGACAAGAACCTACACAGTGGTCGTCTCGCTTGTCAGGTTTACTTTGTACTCCGGTTGGTGAAACTTCGAAACGGGGACAAACCCACCTCTCGTGACACAGCGAAATGTGAACGAGATTCAGCGTCAGCAGACCTGAACCGGTTTTGAATGGCAGTATTTTGATTTCCATGGTGTGTTTGGTATAATAGATTTCCTTACGTTTAACTTCCTTCTCCCCCACCCCTCCTTCCCCACCCCTCGCATCCATACTACAAATTTAAGCCGTACTTCTAGATATAGTTATGTGAGGATGTCATACCTTCCTCTAGCTTTGCCCGGTATACTGGGTGCAGAATAAACTATACGTAAGACAACACCAGTGATTGGACTATAGAGTAAAAATAAATTTCATTGGCTACGCCTGACTGATCCAGTTTGTCTGGTATTTGGTGGTTTGTGATACATGTATCATATCTATTCATTTTGACCTTTCTGACGTCACAAGGGTCATGCACTGCCATGTTGATGATTTGAATAATGCCTACAGCATGGTTTAATTGAAATCTCCGCATATCTGTTTCGTGGTATGATTGTTACACAGGTATATAGGGATTATTTGCATGTTTGTCCGAATGCTGAGAAAGTTCACGTCGAGGTCATATTGTACAGGTCCAGTTTATTGGTCGTTAAATTACTGTCATTAAGTACATTTAAGATGCTAAGATAGATAGACACTGTTCATTCCTTAAATCGCCCATCCTTGTAGATGATATCTTTTTCAATGTAGCGTTTTATCTGCCCAGAATCAGCAGATATGAAACCCTCGTTTTACATGCTTTGGATGCGCTTCCTTGTAAACATGACTGATGTTAAATTTCTCCACCACGCCTTAACATATGTAGTATTACATAATATATATATATCTATCTGTGTATTATGTTGATATGATGGTACGGGTAAGTTACATGTAGTTTACATACTGGGACGGTGTTCTGGTAAGGTCATGTTTCACTTCGTGATGCAGCATTACAAATACGGATTTTCCTTAATATCGTACATTGGAGTCTGACTGAAAGTTGCTGTTATACCTTCTGTAAGGTAAATGACATTATGTAGCCTACATACCTCAATCGACTTTACAAACGGTCCTGTACATGTAAGACATTTAGGAAGTATTTGTAGCCTTCCAAATCACCTGGTTGCGGAAATTCCGACTTTCGGTTCCAGGTTTGAATATAGTTTATATATTATCTATGCATGTAGTATTTAATGTCAGTTTATGATCTCGTTTCTTTGGCTATGGGGCCTCCACAAATCTCCTTGACAATATGATGCAGTCTTAGCTTAGAGTTTGTCTTTAATTATCATGAACTGGAATGCCACTGAGGAGGGCAGATTACTAAGTATGTCATCAATTGTTACAAAAATTAATTACTTGTAAACCTAAAATCATGGTAAAAAATGGATTCAGGTATTTAATTAAGCAGCGGAGTTTATAACAACTGTACGGTATGATCAGATGTCATGTTTGTTACAGATCGTGAATATGTCAAACTTCATTTTACATTAATTCAGACTATAACACGCAACAACGTGAATTAAATACAGATAATGTCACTGGTGTCTCCCTAAGTGAGTTGTCTTACTTAAAAACATTGATACACTTTCTATCGTACAGGTATCATATGCAGCGATGACTGGAAAACACACATGTATTCATATACCTTGGCTGTTTTGATAGAAAGTAATGGATAATGAAAGTAAGTGGATTTTATCTAACGCACCTGTCGTGATAGACATGTGATATAGGTATGAAACAAACATGCAGAAGACATGTGATTCCTACTTCCTTACTTTAATTACGGAAAACTGGAGTCAATCTCAGATAAATATAAAAAAGAGAAAAGTTTGGAATTCTCATATTCAACGACTAGGTGTCCTCAGACTAGATGTAAAGAATTCAGTATTTTTGAAAACTAAATTGCAAATTCAGATATGAACATCGATAAACAACAACAGTGACGTCATAAATGTCGACGATGGTTTAACCCCAGTTACTGAGCAAGACTCAGAACAGCCACAACAACAAAGGCGTGAACCTTGACAAAGACCTAGACACACCACATCCACGACAATCGTGTAGGTGCCGTCTGAAATGATACTGACCGTGACAACACAATCACAACAGTGACGATGGTGTCACTCCAAACAAATGAAGTCCCAATTGCAACTGTCTCATGGATAGTGAACATCCTTGATACAATGTACATAATGTACTTTTCGTACTGGATCGGCCACTTAGTTAAAACCAAATGTTCATATGGTGTTCAGTTGGTCATACATAGATCTAGCCTTAACACAGCAGTCGCAGTGACCATCTGTACGATCAGCGGCACTTAAATGACCATAAGAATCATCGTTTTATGGCCGTCACCAACTCACTCACTTATGTCTACGTCGGCGGTATCTTCCGGCACACTTAAAGTAAATATGATGTGTATTGATGGGACTGTAGGTGGAGAAATATACTTTTCTTGTACAAATCACTTGTATATTACTACCCCTTTACCATCCCTCTACTTATATAGTTTTTGCTGACACGTCTATTGACAAAAAATGCTGGAAAACGTTGCTGGCTGACATGTTACACGGAAAAGCATTACTGGCTGATAAATAACTTTTGAAAACGTTATTTGGTGACAAATTATAATGAAACATTTAACGACAGTGGATGGCGATCTTGTACCGTGGTTTTAATTTAAATGTTTACGCCGTATTTTAACGACAGATGTAGCGCTGACCAGCAGATAAGCTCACCTGTTGTTTACGATAATGCTGTCTAATATTTGCGTTTGATCAAAACCTCAACAGAGATGGCAGACAGCAGCACATAGTTTGTTGTATTAACAAGACAGACGGGACAACGCCCCAATAACAATATAAGCTTATATATATAAGTGTCTTGGTCATAAAATCGAAAAAAGATTAACGCTATCATCATCCACATTTGACAGCACAAAAACGATAACTTACATTGTGCACAATTTAGATTTAAATCTTGAAATGCATAGCTGGTTCAATGCACCTAACGTGGAGATACTTCCTACAGCAATATATATTCATATTGACAATTAACTCACCCAGGAATGTAGATAGTAAAAGGGGGCACGAGTGCCATCAGACAGTCGGACAACGGCGGTCGGAAGGCGTTAGTATTGCTGGAATGGCGCCGTATAATTGAGATACAGTTATCATCCCCAGGCTTTAATGGTTAATGAACATAGATACATGATGGACTACCCCCGGGATACACATGGACGAACAGTTGAGGTGAAGCAAAGTTTATGCCGTCATACGACTTGATCAGGTATAAAAAGCAAATGCATGATGTATCGGGCGTATTGACGAACAAGGAAATAATGCAAGTTTGTTGTTTATCGTCACACAACAATCGGCTCTCATCTTTGTTAAGGTTTCTTAACTGCCTTGAATTTACACTGAAAAGCAGCTGTGAAGTTAAGAGAGAATCCTCACCACAGGAGAATCTAAAGATAAGACATTTCTTATGCAAATTGTTCACAAGACTGCAATTGCCACGTAATTGAAAGTATGCCATTTTCTAAATTTGCTTGCAATGTGTGCAAGTCATTTTTAGAAGAATGTTTTTCCTTTTTTATATTCCTATTAAGTATTTCATTAAATACTACAGTTTTAGAATTGTTTTCTTTTAAATTTTAATTTAATTGTACTACTCGATGGCCCTTCGTGAGCAAAGTTTACCTTTCTAAGGAAGGAATGAAGGGATCAGCGAAAGTTCATTGATAGTGAATATAGGAGACAGGTGTTTTTCTTGATAACTATCTAAAATTTTGTTATAGATTAAGATGAAGAACCATGTAGAATTTGCTCTTTTTGACACCAGGCCAAAGGAACTGTTTTGAAGCATAATATTTTCAAAGCATTTCATAACTGGAACCAATAAGATGGTAGCTCTACGCCTTCGCTTTAGACTTGACAAGTTCCAAAGATGAGCAAAGTGCATGTCGTAGAATGCTTTAGAAAACACTGAAAATCATTGATTATGTGTAATAAATGTAAATAATATCTATATATTTATTTAGTGTTTTGTTGAATAATTAAAACTTATTACATATAATATGATATGATTTCAGAGTAGCAGACTAGTAAACTATATACTTCACGCCAAGGACACTGACATT